GCAGTAGGTTGTGTTAAGGCCCAGGTTGCCCTTGCAAAAGAGATCTATGATCTCAAAGGGATTTGCCTGGTTACACAATGGTAAATAAATAAAAAAAATAAATGTATAAAGATAGTCAAAGGGCCAAAAACTCATGGATGGAGATAAAATAGATGCTGTGCACGAAGTTTTAACAGGGACACATTTGTGGACAAATAACGTTGGGTGATAGGTCTCAGATATTTTCCCGCATTGTAGACTCCAGTGGGAAAAAACCCCATGCAGTGACGTATACCACAGGGGGAGGGGTTTCCCAGGAGCTTGGCACAGAGTGTGTGCACGTGACTGCGCGTCATCCGGTCAGCTGCCAAGCAGCCATACTGAAGCCTTTATAAGCTCCTGTTTTGGGACGGATCGGGGCCAAATTGCACTTAGCCCAGGCCTGAGGTCGAGGTTAACAAATATTTACGTCTAACTTTAAATTGGTTTGCTGTGTGTAAAATTTGGGCTCATACACTGAACACAATCAATCAAACTCTTTCACTATCTCTGGTTAGATAAGACGTTACAGTGAACCCCTGATTTCTGCAGGGGTTACATTCTTAAAGCACCCGCAAATTGCTATATTCGCGGGAGTATCCAATAATTATTTCTCTCAATACAAAAAAATGCACTGTATAAATTTAAGTAAATTCATGAAAATACAGTAAACTGTATGGATATTGGATACTCACCAAAATGAATGATACTGACTGTCTTGCAAAAGAAAAGATTTACGGTATTCCTGATCCCRGCCTCATTCTTCGAACTGTGCTTTCATTGATGCATTAAAGGAGGCTTAACTTTGTTATTCCTAAAATAAATCCAATTATTCATCCTTCTCCTGCAGGGTCTTAAAAATCTTCTTGCACTTCAGTTCACTGGAAGAAGTCTCAAAAAGGTGTATGCATTTGGGTAGCATGGGTAGGTAAAAACCAACATCAAATAAAAAAGGCGAGAGCTAATTAGCAGCTACATGGTATTGTAACGATAAGCAGATTGACAGAACGGCAGAAAGTGGGCACAGGGCACACATCGTATTGTAAAAAAAAATCTGCAAAAGACCGAGTCTGCAAACTGTAAAATACAGTTTTGCGGAGGTTCACTCTGTTTATAACCTGTGCACTGAACATCACTTCAAAAAATCTGAACTTCACTTTAATTTTTTCTTTTGTTTCATATTTTTTGGGGGGAATTCCACATTTATACTGTCATGATCTTTTTCACTCAACCCCCAGTGTTTAAAAGATGACTCCACAACGTTTCTTTTCTTTTTTTTTTTCAGTGCCGCCATTGTCAGAGTACAAACAACCAGGCAGAGCTGCTTCCTGCTCCTTTCAAACGAACCGTGTCTGGCCTGGGAGCCAGGCTAAAGCCAGAGGTTAGAGCTCCATTTGTCCCTCCCTCCTCGCCACATCTCCATGGAAACGGATATAGAAATCACACACGCTGTCAGAAAGCCTGGGCAACTCCACACAGTGGCACTTCTGTGGCACATGAAGGACAGCAGAGTTCATGTTAGGTGAGCGGGTCAAGGATGAGCATTCAGTCTGCTGAAGAGTAAAGATCAGGCTGGTCTAAGGGGTGTGTGTATGTGTGTGTGTGTGGGGGGGGGGGGGGTGTACAACAACTGAAAAAAAGAAAGAGAAAGCAATTAATTCCTGATAGGTACCAAGTTCCAGCTAATTGGGAAGACCTAATTTTCTGTGTTTTGGACATTTTTAACTTGCACATAATTACTTTCAAACATATCTTAATTTACAGTTTCTTTTTGGCCCTGGGAGTCCCTAACTTGTCTTACAAGACATGAGAGGCCTCTGCTGGCTGCAAAGGTCCTAACACATCTGTCACATGGCAAACAAACCACATCCTACTCGCAGGAGGATGACATAAGAGGCGTTTGGAGTGAGCTGCTACTGTAAAACAAGCTGCAGCTGTTTGTGACACGGTGTAGTCTGAAAGCTGATTAAAATTCAACGCACACACTGCTTGATGGATTTAATCTACGAACTGAAAAGTCTTCTTCCTCTCTGTGTTTAAAAGCATGTGTCTAAATCCATTCAATAAAGCAGTCAAAGGCTTCATGCTGTTCGCTGAACAATAAAAATCAATACCATTAAACACTTCTTTAAGAAACCTTAAGTGTTTCCCCAGAGGCCTTGTCAGTTTCCATGTATCATATCTTTTTACAGGCTTGTCAATAATAAATTCGGGAGATCTTAAATTCTTCATTACATCTCTGAGGCCGAGGTCTCCGCTCTTCTTCTTTTGCAGCGTTTTGAAGATGCAGGTAACTGATGGATCAATGGGAGGCACTCTGAGAGGAGAGCGAGCGTACCTTTCATGCAGCAATAACCTGTTTTTTCCTGTGCCCCAGATGTCTGCGGCATCCGTCCAATCAGAGGAACCGCACCGGCTGACTTACAAGCCTGATCATTCGCTTCCTGAACGCATTCCAATTCCTTCACAGGCATATAAGCAATTTTTACAGTAGTTAAGCAGAGGTGGAACTGCTTCACATAATCTCCCTTAGACCGTCTCCACTGTCGGCCCAGTGACAAATCGTGTTAAATCCCAGGCTGAACTCAAGCACAAATTAGAGCTTCTTTTCTTTTTTCATGCCAATAAGCATCTAGAACCAGAAAGCTTAATCGCCACTTCAATCTGCTTTAAATACGTGTGAATCTTTTATAATTTAACTAAGTTAACCCAAATGGCCTCCTTTATTCTTTATACTAACTTAATTATTGGTCTCCATGCCTAACTTGACACTAACTTGATTCCATGGAGCAGCTTTAATTGTTTAACCTCAAGCCGACCATGACGAAACAGCCTTTAGAACTTGGCAAACAGGCTTACTTCCATTACAAATAACAATGTTGCGAACAAGGTAGAGCAGATAACGCGAAAACACACGCAGTAAAAAAAAAATGAATGTGCTGCAACCGCCATTTTCTGAAATCTCTTGCCATGGAAGTCATCAAACAAACAAATGAATTTAAATATAGATCAAACAACAGAGATGCTGTCATTCCAAGTAGGATTTATACCCCGAGTTTGGCAGCCAGCTCTGCTAAAGAAACGGACCCAATTTTGTGACATATATTTTTTTTATTTCTGTCTTAGCACAATAAAATGTGAAGAAAAAATGATGAGAAACCCTCAGGAAGGACACCAGCTTGGAACTTTAAATATATCTGAAGAAATATGTTGTGTTCCCTGGTTTTGGACCTATACGTGTTTTCTTTAATGCTGAAAAT